TCCTGGGGTGCGTTAGGCAGAGTGTTGCCAGCAGGTCGAGGGAGGTGATCCTCCCCCTCTATTCAGCCCTGGTGAGGCCTCACCTGGAGTACTGTGTCCAGTTCCGGGCTCCCCAGGACAAGAGAGACATGGCACTACTGGAGAGAGTCCAGGGGAGGGCTACCAAGATGATTAGAGGGCTGGAGCATCTCTCCTCTGAAGAAAGACTGCAAGAGCTGGGCCTGTTGAGCCTGGAGAAGAGAAGATTGAGAGGGGATCTCATCAACGTGTACAAGTATCTGAAGGGGGAGTGTCAAGAGGATGAGGCCAGTCTCTTCTCCGTGGTGCCCAGCAACAGGACAAGAGGCAATGGGCAGAAACTGAACCACAGGAGGTTCCATCTGAACCTGAGAAAAAACTTCTTCACTGTGAGGGTGACAGAGCATTGGAACAGGTTGCCTAGAGAGGTGGTGGAGTCTCCTTCCCTGGAGATATTCAAAAGCCGTCTGGATGTGATCCTGGGCAATATGCTCTAGGTGACCCTGCTTGAACAGGGAGGTTGGACTAGATGATCTCCAGAGGTCCCTTCCAACCTAAACGATTCTGTGATTCTGTGAATTATCATCATATCTTAGAACCGTAGCTGCAGCAAGACACTAAAGGCAGCCTTGACTAGGATTAGTGTCCTTTGAGGTAGACTGGACCATTAACCACCCAAAAGGATACTAGTACATATTTGAGGCTCAGGATTCCAATAATGGTACAGTGAGAAGGTCTTTTGTATGAGATCTTGCCTCTGCCATGGATAAATCTGTTGATTTATTCTCAAATGAAGATTCATTTTTGGGACTAATTCCTAGCTACTTGATATTTTTAACAGAGAACTGAAAGATCTGGATATAGTTTAAGGCAAACAGTGTTCTCCCCAGTGTCTGGCTTGGGACTTGGGAATTATGTAGGGTAATTTTGGGGGATCATGTAGAGTGATACTAGTTCTTAGTATTTCAGAAAATATCTAGGCTGATACGAAATTTGAATGCAGATATTTTCATTCATGCAAAACTAGACATGGATTCACCAAAAACTGCAACTTACTCTGGAAAGTGTTAAATGTGCATAATGAGTACAAACTGCTTCACACTGGTGTAGCACTTCAAACTGAAATTTGTAATGGATTAGCTACATTTCCTCAGGATGTAGAAGACCATAGGCAATGGAACTTTGGAAACCTAGCAGACTGAAAACTTCTTAATGGAGAGGTTGTTTGAATTCAGCTCTATGTAATTTAAAGGACAAGAAGCATATACAATGAACAGGAGATGTGCATTTATTTTCAGGCAAGCCAGGTAAAAGCCGCTTTCCTCTGCTTTCATCGCATAGACAGCAGAGATGGCTTCTTAGCGTTCATAGCAAATTGAAAGTATGAATGCTTATTTACACTCTAAAAAGAATTATGTTTCTCAGTTCTAAGTGAATACAGTGCTTGAAGTTGGAAGTTGAAGTTAGCAAGTGTCTGTGAGTTGTAGGAGGCTGGTGAATAATTATCTGGGAAAAGTAACTTGAACCATCTATTCAGAGCACTTGAATTGCATTTCCTGTATTTTCCAGATGTGTCTTTTCTTGTGCGTGTTCACTTCTCAAATCAGAAATCATTTAGTTTAGAGACCAGTGTGTGTGCGTGTGTGTGTGTTTTTAATGACCGGATCCATACTTAAAACAAGCAAAAAAACTTTCCTCTCTTCCAAAACAAACTCTTGAGTTATTCTAACTCATAAACAAGTAGAAATATCATTTTGATTACATCAGGACAGCATAATAAGTTTGGACATATGGTTCCTAAGCAACATTTGTTTGCTGTGGAAATCAAATGGGAGCATTAGTCAATGACTCAAAAATGAGCAGTTTGCCAGTTTGAAAACACAAGGAAGTGCCCCAGCCATACCTAGTCATACTTGCAGGGGAGGAAAGGTCTAAGGACGCTTTCTCTGCTCCATACACTGCAGACTCTGTGTTCATCCCACGACAATCTTTAGAGCAAATTAGGCACACAGGGTGAGGATGCGGGGAGGAAAGAGGAGCAGCTGCCTGCCATCCGAAGAAACAGAGAGCTAATAGCTTCCAAAAAGAGGGGCATCTTTTTGAGCTCCTGCAGTGTGCCCATTTGTGTGCAAACACATCGGCACTGTGGCAAACAGGCTCCCTGTTATTCTAAAATGACTCATGAAGAATTAGGTATTGTAAAACAGACGACAGTAAAGATCTCCAAACTCCAGATAGATCAGTTTCAATTTCTTCTCATTTAGGATTCTTCAGTGCTGGCTTAGATTCTTGTGGAGTCTCTATACTTACGTGACTGGAGGAGACCGAAGGAGAATGTCAATCATAGCCTGATTAGCATGAACTCCTTAAACTAAGGCTTCATCTTTGACAACTGTGATATAAACTTACTCTTCCAAGAGTAACCAGGACAGGTACCTATAGGTGTCATCCATCACCTTCAGCTCTGCTGACTTACTTGCAACCTGCCTTCATAGGCTCTCTTTGTATTCCTTGACCTTGGTTAGATTTTTTTAAGAGTTTGAACTTTGTATTGGTTGAGTTCTGCCCTGAATAAAAATGTTCTCCTCTCCACAGGAAGTTGTGAAATCCTAATAACTGAGGTGAAAGTTTCAGAGAGCTGTAGTTCTTGTGCATGTTTTTAAATGCAATTAAATAGAGCAGTGCTGATGAAGTTGCAAGACTTCCTCAAACATCTCACAGTGGCATCACTTTTTTGCCTACTCTGACTAGGTAACTGCTCTCCTTGAAGGCTAAAAAGTGCCAAACTGAGAATGTAGGACGGAAAAGTGATGTGGAAGACGAGGAGACTTGTGAAACAGTAAGCAAGGCATGCCACAATATTATTTCCTTTCTCCTTGGGATCCTATATTTAATGAAACTTTGAGACAAGGAACAGCCACTTTCATCCATAATCTGAGTTAATACATGATAATAATCCTATCTGAGGTACTACTGTTTTGCATATAGGAAAGAGCTAAGCAGTATTACATTGGACTAAATAGTTTTGCAGGTTTGCTTACCTATTTGGTGACATATTTTGGGGGGATTTTGTTTTATTTTTGTTTTGGATGGTCTTTAGTTCATAGTGAGAGTGCTTGGCATTTCTGAAGTTCTGGTGGTCTCCATTTTAGGATGAAACATAAATTTTAAGGCTCCTCGAGACCGTAAGGTTATGAAAATGTGAGCTCAAGCGATTAATCTAGATCTATATGTAGAGAAGTGGGAATGTAGAGAAGTATAGAGGGTCAGAAGTGGAATCACAGTTCTGGGACTTCCTGGTTCCTTGTTTAGGGACTGTTCTTATTTTCACTGGAGTGAATAGTGAAAACGTTTGTGTCACTTTATGAAGGACTGAGACTCATTTTGATACCTTAGACATGATATAACTCTCAGCACAGCTTTTCCTGAAATGGTCTTCTAGCATAAGATCTCTGTTATTAAATCCAGGCGCATAATATTATTCATTTTTTCAGTGTTTCCACAAGTTAGTGTGATATGGACACAAAGTCCAGAAATGTTGCCAAGTGCCAGGACTTTGATTTTCGATGGTTCCTGCCTTAACCCTGCCAGCTGTTGCTATGAGTAGTGCTGTGTACAGCTAAACATGCTCATCTGAATTTTAGAAATTATGTCATTGAAAAAATAAATACACAATCAAAAGTAAAATTATTTATTAACATTGAGGTAAGGCCTGAAGGCCCCTACCCCAGCACATGCTGTTGAAATCCAAGCTCTGTCAGCAACTCAGATGACTGGTTCCTGAGCCAGTTACAGACAATGAGTCTCCCTAGGTATGTAAATAGGAATAGACTGCTGGCAATTGGGACTCCTTTTGAACAGTAAATTGCTTTCTTTGTAATGTTGGTTTCACATACACTCCATCTAATACATTTCAAACCCCCATGCTTTTTAGTTTATTATGCCTCTCAACTCTTTTCTACCCTCCTCACCCCCCCC